ATTCAGTCGGGTGGGGGTTGACTGCTTCTCTCCAGGCACAAGGCACCCTAGTGGTCCCAAGTTGGGGCCCTGGCCATGGAGCGGGTGCCGAGCACCGGGAAGAAGCCACGCACGCCCCTGCACGCGGTGCCTATCGCGGCGCGCGGCTCCGGAGGTGAGGGCGCCCCGCCCCGCTCCCCTCTCCCGGCGCTCGGCGGCTGGGGTTGGGGGCTGTGTGGAGAGGGCGCGGGACGACCCGTGAGCGGCGGGATGCGGACTCCGGGCCCGGGAGGGCGCCGAGGCCCCAGACGCGGCCGGGGTGGCCGGGACCCGGGCGGGAGGGCGCGCGGGGCCGGGGCCCGAGGCCGCGATCGCGCTCCTGCGGGGCCCGTGCGCGCGGGCGGAGCGGCGCGGCGGCGCGCGGGGCCGGGGCGGCGCGGAGCGGGGCGGGGGAAGGGGCGCGGGGAGCCCCCCGCCCCGCGAAGGAGGAGTCTGGCTCCCACTCGCAGCCTCGGCCGCGCGGCGCAGAGGCCCCCGCCCCTGCGCGCCGCCCTCGCGGGAGCCGGGCCCCCGCCGCCCTCCGCGCGCGCTGCTGCTCGTGGCCGCCGAAGAGGAGCCCGGGGCCAGGTAGGACCCGGCCGGGCCGGGAGTGCGCACGGGCTGGGTGCGGGCGGTGGGCCGGAGGGGGCGCGGCCGGGACCCCGTCCCTGCACCCGGGCGGCCCGCGGGTGCCCTCAAAGTTACTTTGGCCGTCTCTGCTTTGCCCGGGGCGCGCGGCCCCGGTCGGCGGTGGCCGCTGCGCAGCCCGCGGGGCCGGTGCGGGCGGGAGGGGGCTTGGCCGGGCCGTGCGGTCAGCGAAACTTTTCCCAGGCTGGCCGGCTGCCGCTGGCTGCTGTAGGAGTAACCCGTGGAAGGAGAGGGTTGGTGGGGTGCAAGTGATGATGAGGGTGATAACAATAGCCACCCCCTGTTGTGGAGAGCCTACTGTGTGCAGCCAGCCTCTACTGACACTTGGAGGAGGGGGATGAGGAGGGGGACGGATGCTGGTCAAGTGGTTACTTTTGCTGGGTATTGCTGGGAACTTCACTAACACCCATCTATCGTTTGCCCATCCGTCTGTCCGTCTGTCCGGCTGTCTGTCCGTCCGTCCGCCCATCCATCCATCCATCCATCATTCTTCCTCCACTCATTCAACACACTGCTTTCAGCTGTGCCGCTTTAGTGGCTTCAGTGACTAACCAGACGGCACTCAGTCCTCCAGGACAGTATTCCATGACTGCCTTAGCTGAAAGCCATTCTACCTCTGGTGTGTTTATTTGGGGACATGCTACAAGACGGTTCAGGCAGGGGCGAGGGGAGCTGTTGTGTGAAGGAGCCTGGGAGGCCACCATCTTCCATCCCCTCCCAACCCTCTGGGACCAGGCTCAGTGGTTTCTTGGGGTCAGGACACACCACACTGCAACTGGATGTCATCCCTGTCCAGGTAGCATGGCAGGGATGTTTTTTCCTCGCTGCTGGGCTATCCCCTCTCCCCTGGCATTCTTCCAGAAGTGCACCCCCCATTTCCACTTCTTCCGCTGGATGGCTAGGAGGAGAACAAACTGTTAACAATTATAAAATTAAACCCGGGGAACAAAAGTGAGGCACCATTGAATGGTTGGGCTGCTTGCCGTATATGAATGGTGGTGGCAGACTTGCTAGCAGGGATCAGCTACATTAGTGGGCTGTTGGAGGTCAGGCGCTAACCACGTTAACACCCCAACTGGCCTTGGGCAAAGGAAAATTAAGACAACTTCACTTGTATTTGGTACATGACTAAAAATGCCTTGGGGGAGGTTGGACAGGTTTTAGGGTGACTGCTCCATCTCAACTAGAAGCCAAGACATTAGGTGACCATCTGGGGAGGGTACCGAGACAGTGGCGAACACCAGGCTTTGGAGCCGATGGTGACAAGGAGGCGTCTGGAGCAAGGCTCATCTGCAGGGGATGATCTGTGGGAGCAAGCATACTAATCTGTGCACCGCCCGTCTCCCTGCAAATTGGCTTTCCAAGTGGCAGCCCCTCAACACTTGTAAAATCTCCTTTTGCTCAAGATGGATTTCAGTGAAATGGTTGCATCTCTTCCAGTTTTCCCAAGAGCTTGGAACAGTGTTAATTGGCTGATGGCTGCTCAAAAGACACTTTAGTCTTGACCGTCTAATCTGTGC